GGCAGCTCAGCCCCACCCCGGCAGCCCCTGTTTTCCTTGGTTGTGTTTTGGAAGGTGCCTGGCACCCCAAGAGATCCAGCTTCGTGGTGGACAGGTGACCATACAGGGGCTTCACCGATACCCTTGGTAACCATAGTAGTTCCTGTAGTACCGGTCCCTGTCCTGTGGGTGGTGGTAGTAATAATTCTGCCACTGGAAGAGAGGGGACCCATCAGGGGAGCAGGATGGCACCCACCGGGGCCCAGCGCCATGCCACCCTCGCCCTCTGCCCTCACACTCACGTCCCGGTTGTACTGTCTGTAGTAGTCCCTGTATCTGTTGTATTCGTAGTCCCGCCCGTAGAACCGGTCGTACTCTCCTCGGTAGCGGTCATAGAAGTTACGGTAGCCCTGGAAAAGGAGAGAGAATAGTACAGGGTTTCGGCAGCATGACCCATTGTGCCCCCTCAGACAGATACCTCCTGGCTTGACAGTGTAGACAGGATAAATTTTGTCAGATGAGCACATTAAACGGGCAAAGCCCTCAGCCCTGAGAAGACAGCCCAAAGCCCTCTGCTCCCCACAGCGCAGCAATAGTGGCGGCGGCCAGAGGGAGGAGCAGGGGCTGCACTCACCCCTCTGTTTCCAGACTGCCCCCAGTACTGCTGCCCGTAGGCCCGGTTGTCGTAGCCTCGGCGCTGCCCGCCCACTGGAAGAGAAACGGAGAGCGCTCAGACGCCTGGCACAGCGTCCTGGCTCCACGGGGAGTGGAGTGGAAAAGTGGGAGCCACAGGCAATTCTGTGGGAACAGGAGCCTGCCTGGCCAGACACATGCCACGCTCATTAAAGCCCAAGAGCCAGGGACTCGGAAAAGTCTGCAGGGAGTGCAGTGAGACCGGAAAACCAAGCCACCTTGCTTTGGACAATGCCAGTTTCTGCAAGACACTCAGGATGGCAAACAGGTACATGGCAGGGTAAAAAACACGAATAAAAACTGTCATTCCAAGTGTCACCAACTGCCAGCCTAGGATGTCACACTACCTATCCCCATTTTTTTTTTTGGGGGGGGGCGGTCTTTTTGAGACAGGGTCTAGCTCTGAAGTTCAGGCTGGCCTTGAGCTCACTTTGTAGCCTAGGCTAATCTCGAACTCGAAACAATCCTCCTGCCTCAGCCTCCCAAGTGCTGGGATTACAGGTGTGCACTACCACATCTGGCCCATCCCCATGTTCTGTGAAACCGTCTGTACCATATGGTCTTGAGGAGGGCAGTCAGCATCACCAGGGCCCAGCGCGCAGCAGGCCAAGGACTGGGGCTGACCTGCAGCCCATGTGCACACACACCACGCACAAGCACAACTCATCTTGAATGTCAGCTGACAAAACACTCTTTGGGGAAATAATTCCACTAACAGCCTAGAGCTTGCTATTAATAAGCCTCCAGTTCAATTTCTGAATAATGTGTCCAAGAGGCAATACAGCAAGAAAACGTGCTACGAGAACAAGATGTCACCACACAAACCCATCCACTACACTGGCAGTGAAGTGTGGGAGACCTGTGTGTTAGCGCCACAGCAAGCTTTTTAAGAGACAAGTATTCTGTGGAAGGAGCTACCCTTCTTACGGAAGGATTATAGGAAGGCCAAGAGGCAGTAGGGCGAGGACACAGGAGAAAACCCGCTCCATGAAGGCGCCTCCTTATTGGGAGAGACTCTGCTTCCTGGGCCTTCTTGGTGGGGGCTCCCACACTTGGCCCAAAATTCTGAGTGAAGCGGGGCCTGCCCAGCCCTGGACTCACCGTAGCCTTGGCCCCGGCTTCGGTTCTGGCGGTTGCGCTTATTCCGGTTGTTCCGGCGGTTTGTGCGCTTCTCTGACGGGGGCAGCAGCTTCCTGGCCTCCTCCTTGTACTTGCTGACAATGGGCTGGGCCTCCTCCTTCTCCAGCTCCCCGTATGTCACCTCATCCATGTAGTCGCATTTTTCAGGCAGAGAGAAGTTGGCTGTAAGAGTAAGAGAAGCTTGTGGGCCTGGAAAGTGTACTGGTGAGTCAGAACTCACTGTGAACATTCTACTACAGGACACAGAATTTCTAAGCCTCATCTAGTACCGCACAAGAATGTGCTGGCTCATGTCTACAGGACAAAACTAGTTTCCGCTACTCTAAATTCTCCCTAAATTGTAACAGTCCCAAGCAAAGCACTACCTGCCAACTGTTGACTCACAAGGTCTCAAGTGACCCATAATAAATTAGCAGTGAACCGGGGTAAGGTTTCTTATCAGCACAGAAGTAGGTAACAGAGGCCAAAAGTAACCGAGAAAGTTTTGGTGTTGGTCAGATGAGATGCTAAGAAGTGACATTTTAGAAAGAGGCTTAGCCTCACAGCATACGCTGTCTGCACAATGAGAGTGGAGAGCAGATCACAGCCCCTGGTTGCTCTGAGAGGGCTGGGCCAGCACACTGCACACCCTGAGCCCATAGGCTGCGCTGCAGCCCTCCCTACAGCGGGCTCCCATGATTCTCCAGCGAACCCACTCAGTGCTGTTTCTTGCAACACTGACATTAACTCCTCTGTGCGCCTGAGTATCAGCCATAGACATGCATAGCTCATTCTGCACGAACTTGGAGAATGTGGCTCAAAGGTTTCCACAGCGAGAGAAAAGCCAGCACTTTCGAGGGCTGGTGGGAGGGAACATCAAAATTAGGGAACATCAGCTAAAAGCACAGCAGGAAGTAAGAGCAACCAAAACAGCTAATGCTGCTTTGTGGGGACCTTGCTCTGTAATGTATACATGATTTAATCCACAGCAAAAAAGGAAAAAACTAAAAACAAGCCTACTATGATACCATAAATAGAGATCCACCAATGAGACCCTCATTCCAACTGCCCTGACTTGAACGATTCTATCTCTCAGCCCTTTACAAAATAAAGACACACTGGCTGCTAGCTCCCGATGCAGGACAGTGCTGGGCAAACAGCAAACACACCATAAGTATCTACATAATAAGTGACTTACTTAAAGAAGGTTCTTTCGTGAGTTTTATCTTTATTTTCGTCAGTGATTGAGACTGAACCCAAGGCCTCACGCATACTAGGCAAGCACTCTACTACTGAGCTGCATCCCCAGCCCTTTGCTGACTTTAACTATCCTGTGATACATCACTGTTTCCCTTTTTGTGACTCAGCTGGGTTGAGTCTCAGGGTCAGAGCATCACAGCACACATGGTGGTACACGTTGGGTGTCATCCCAGCACTCAAGAGGCTGAAATAGGAGGATCACTTCAATTTGGAGCCAGCCTGGGCTACAAGGCCAGCCTGAACTACGCGGTGAGATCCTAGCTCAACAAACAAACAAATAACAAAGAAAAGGGAGGAGTCACTCCTTTGCCATTTGCTCTGCTTACTCATTCTTCCACTGTGCTCACACTCACGAAGGTGCTCTTCAGGGGCAGGGCAGGGCAGGGCAGGGCGGGGCAGGGCTAGAGCGCCTCCTGGGCTGAGGCCTGCTAAGTATAGACTGACAACGGGCAGGAGTCCTAGCAGTCGAACTTCAGCCCACCTTTCATCTCCAGCATTATGGACTCAGGCACATCGTCTCCCTCCACTTCCTTCCTCAACTCCAGCCTCTTCTTCCAATCTTCCTCACTGGGGACGATCACCACCACCTTCCGTGAGAACGTCTTGAACAGCAACAGCTTCCGCCGTTGGCCAGAGTTGTACACATTACACTAGGAAAAGGAGGAGGAAGAGATGTTTAGGTATAAAACAACCATTCAGCTTCAACCAGAACTTTGTATCTTTTACAACTGGAACACCAGGTTAGGGGGTTAATATGCCTTTTTAAAAAAACCTGTATGTGGGGCTGGGGATTTAGCTCAGCGGCAAAGCGCCTGCCTGGCAAGCCCAAGGTCGTGAGTTCGGTTCCTGGTACTGGAGAAAAAACCAAAAAAACAAAAAATAAAAAAAAAAATAAAAAACCTGTATGTGACAGGCAGCTAGATCTTGGAAACAAATGCCCACCTAGGAATGGATAAAGAAGTGATCTTTTTATACAACGGAGTACTACTTAGCCATAAAGAAGGATAAATTGGAGACTTTTATAGGTAAATGGATAGAGATCATACTTATAAGTGAAATAAACCACACACACGTACAAAGATGGCATTGTTTCCCTAATGTGAAAGGTGAAAAAGTAAGAACCAAAATGTCTAACAGATATTGTAAAGCAGAAAGAAACTGCTCCAAAGGAAAGAGAAACTGGGCTGGGGGAAGACAGAAAAAAAGGAAGGAAAAAACAAAAAAAAAAGATTTTGTTTTTCCCCCGGTACCAGGAGTCGAACTCACAATGTTGCGCTTGCCAGGCAGGTGCTGTGCAGCTGAGCTAAATCCCCAGCCCCTATGTATGTATATATACATACAAACACAAGATAGTTAAGACAGTATCTGATTTCTCTTAGTTCATTGAACAGGATTATGCTAATATTGTCTGGACTACTGATGCCTATATCCAGTGCTCTGAGTAATTTAAAGATAATAATATGCAATGTATAAAGCATTGCTACCCTCCTACTATCTTGTTTTGAAATTTTATTTTTTTCTATTTTAAATGGAAAAACTTAGCCAGGTGTGCTGGTGCACGCCTGTAATCCCAGCACTTGGGAGGCTGAGGCAGGAGGATCACTGCGAGTTTGAGACCAACCTGGGCTACAAAGTGAGCTCAAGCCCAGCCTGAACTGCATAGTGAGACCTTATCTCAAAAAGACCAAAAAAAAAAAAAAAAAAAAAACTTAGCCAGATGTGGTAGTATGCCTGTAGTATCAGCACTTGGGAGGCTGAGGCAGGAGGATCATTGTAAGTTCAAGACCAGCCTGGGCTACAAAGTACACTCAAGGCCAGCTTGAGAGACCCTGTCTCAAAAAGGCCAAACAAAAACAAAAACAAAAACAAGAACCTTTATGTGACTGGTATGACTTATCTTACACACCAGCAAAACTGAGGTTCAGTGAAGCAAAGGGACTTATCCAAGATCACAAATCTTGTAAGGGGAGCCAGAAATTCAGTGAGTGCCAGCTCTATTCCATACCTCTATTATCTGGACCTATATACTCTCAATTAAAAACACCAATTAGACTACCTCTATAATGTTTAATATAACTAAAGCTGCACGTGGTGGCACACACACCTGTAATCCCAGCACTTGTGAGGCTGAGGCAGGAGGATCACTGTGTGATCCAGCCTGGGGTATACCGTGAGTTGCAGCCTCAACTATACAGTGAGACACCCTCAATGCCCTCCCTCAAAAGGGCCCCTGAAACCACCATAACTAGCCAGACATGTTAAGGTGCTGTGTTACTACACAACAAGATGCTGTCTCTTGCATCTTTTTTTTTTTTAATCTTTTTGAGACAGGGTCTCACTGTGCAGTTCAGGCCAGCTGTGAGCTCACTTTGTAGCCCAGGCTGGTCTTGAACTCCCAACGATCCTTCTGCCTCAGCCTCCTGAGTACTAGGATTACAGGCGTGCGCCACCACGCCTGGCTGTCTCTAGCATCTTCATCAGTTTTCTTCATATATACACCCCAATTTGACTCTAATCAATTTTATTAAGTGGATGCAAAATACTCATCTTTGTATCTTCTGAAAAGCTGGGTTTCCTTTGAGTGTTTGAACAATACCTGATCAAGAATGAAGTTCCTCTTTGTCCGAGAAGCAATCTGGACCAGCTTACTAAGGCACTGGGAGGCTTGCTGAACTAAAAGGTCACGACTTTTGGGGTCCATGTCTGGCTCCTCCAGCCCCTTCATCTGGGAATGAGGAGAGAAGGCACACAAGTGGTTGGCAGCAAGTATAAGCAAAAGGGCCGGGATATAGCTCAGTGGCACAAGCCTAAAACATACACACAAAAACAAGCAAAAGAGACATTGTTGCCATTTTTTTTAAGGTAGCAGGAATGGAAGTCAGGACTGTGAGCTTGCCCAGCAGGTGCCTGTGACACTGAGCTATATCCCCGGCATTGTTGCCATTTTAAATGCCACATCTGTCACCTTGATTTATCCTTCTGGCTCAGGGCAGTGACACTATTTCTTGCAGTATCATTTCCATGCAACCTGGGTAGATCCCAGATTTTATCTGTTTTCAGAAATGTCACAATATAGCTGAGAAAAAACAAAAATCCACCTACAACACATAGAGAATAGCTCCCTTCTCTTACCCACAGGACCCTTGTCCCAGGCACCTGAGACTAACTCTTCATGGAGGACAGCTGAACAGCATACTGGTCGCACACGCAAGTGCTCCCCTGGGCAGTTTCCCTTCACTCACCCTCATCTGACTGAGCACAGTCTCAGCTCCCAGGACGTTGTATCTTTTCTCAGGGTTTTCTTTTGCGTATTTCAATGCCCACTGGGTCTTTCCAGATCCAGGTAGTCCCACCATCAGAATTACCTACAAATAAACAGAATCACTAATGCAACGAAAATAAGTGAGGGTCAATTTCTAAGATCCCATGTAAGCCAGGTATGGAGGTAATGCCTACAATCCCAGCTACTGGAGAGGCCTAGGTAACACCGCGAGACCCTGTCTCAAAACCACAACCCCCCCAAAACAAGAACAGCTGACGAAGAATAAACCCCCAACCCCCACTTATAGTGCTTTGAGAAGAGACCAGGGAACTTACCCACCCACCATCCCAAAGCAGGAACCCCAAGCTGGCGCACCTCACACTCCTCTCCAGTCTTAGGTGGGACCACAGTGCGCACGCGCTCCTCCACAGGCACCGCGTGGATGAACACAAACTCTTCGGGGGGCGAGAAGAAGGGCTCCTCCTTCTGACCAAAGTTTAATTCTACAACACAATTTTTGCAGAGGACATGGGGTAGGAGGGCGCGGTCTGCCAGGGAGTCCTTGTTGATCCGGAATGCCACACCTAGATCTTCTCCATTCTTGGAGAAGGAAAGTTCTATTTCTTCAGATTCAAAGTTCTATAGGGACAAAGGACAAGAGCACTTAGGGGCTGACGGGGCTTGAGGCTGATCAAACCTCATCTTTTCTGAAACTCAAGACAGCTGTGCAACACAATGAAGCAAGGCATGCACCAAGTGGCAAAGCCGGCAGTGTTGGGCAGAGTACGGCTCCCAGGGCCTCCCCACCACAAACCCACGGGTTCAGAAACTTACAGCAAAGCAGCCAATGACATCGTTCTCCCCAAAAGTCTGGCCAAACTCCTCAAACTGGCCATTCTCTGCCTTGAGTCCACGTCCATCAAAGCCGTAAGAGAATTCATCCTCACCTACAAGAGCCAATCATCAGTTACCAATGCCCAGAGTGCCCCAGAATAAGCAACATCATATGAAACACAGGCGAAGAAGTTAGAAGGTAACTTTACCCAGCTGGGGACAGGAAGTATCAACGGACCACCCAACTCGGAGGAGAGACACCTCTGTGCAGCCTTCTTTCATTGGGAGATTCTGGGATACCTGGTCAAATCAGAAAAGGAACTTAGGTAGTCTGACCTCTTGGGAACAGGGCGTTACAAAGACAAGATTTTTACATAACCTGAAAATGACAGCGATCACACTGAAACATCAGAATAACAACTGTCACTCAATCTAACCTAAGCTGGGGTTAATTTCTTGGTCACTAGAAGTAAGGTTATTACTAAAACAGGGTGACTTCCTGTACTATCAGGACACTGATGCACAGGAATCCAGTGTACAGCTACTTTGAGGGACAAATTAATAAGTGTATGGCTGTCATGAGCTACTACCTTGGCCTCAAAGCAGACTTTTCCCTTTGTTACTCCGTAAGTGCTCCTTGCCCCAGACCAGAGGGTGGGGAACTTCTCTGAGAAGAGTGGCTGCCCTCCGTAGCGGTCTTTGCTCACTTGGAAATGAAGATCCGAGGTATCTGTGAGAAAGACGGGGCTGGTTTACTATAAGATCCAGCAGGTGAGAGCTACCCACTCACGCAGCACAAGTGCATGCAATGTCAAGACTGGGGGCAAACACTCGGCAGGCTGAGGCAAGAGGATTGTTGGGAGTTCCAGATGAGCCTGGGCTACAAAGTGAGCTCAAGGCCAGCATGAACTGCATAACGAGACCCTGCCTCAGAAAGACAGAATTAAAAAAAAAAGAAGACTGGGGGCAAAGTGTGAGGACATGCAGGCCAGGTCTAATCCCCAAAATTCCTTTTAGCAGAGTACTTAAAACCCCCAACCTTTTTGTCTTATACATACACGTGTCCAGGTTCACAAGAGTCTGATCTTCCTCCTCCTCCTTTGCCTCTTCCTCAGGAGGTGGTGGTGACTTGGAACTATACAGAGAAAAGTAAATCCATGTAGCCACAGCTCTCACCAAGGACTGTCTGGAGCACAGTATGTCCACTTTAAAGTGCCAGTAAATACCAAATCCCAGCGGACAGCTTCTTTCAACAAAGCAGAGTGTAACCCACCCTTCCCTCCCGACACTGATCAGCATGTGATACAGCAGAATCTGGGGTGCTGCTCCCGAAGGGCAGGAACAGGTCCTCACCGGCTGTGGTGCGCCTCCTCTCGAAACTCGTAGTAGGCGCGGCCATGCTCATCTTTCTCATCCCGCTGTCTCTTCACCCCTCGCCGCTCACCATCCGAGCCTGCTGGCTTGGACTTCTCACTGTCTTGGTCATCCCCTACAAACCAGGGAAAGACAATCGCAGTTCTTCTGCTGAGCATGGAATAAGCTCAGAACCAACAGAAACTAAACGCGTGAGCCGGGGATGTAGCTCAGTGGCATAAGCGCCTTCCTGGCAAGCGCAGGGTCCAGAGTTCGATTCCCAGTACCAAGAAAACAAACAAACAAACAACCCAAAACAACAACAAGAAGAAACTAGGGGCTGGGGATTTAGCTCAGCAGCACAGTGCCTGCCTGGCAAGCGCGAGGTCAAGAGTTTGATTCCCAGTACCAGAAAAAAAAAAAAAAAACAAGAAACTAAATGCAAATCTGAGTATGCCCAATCGTAAATCAGGTTATTCCCATTGTACTCTTAGCATACTTAATTTCCAAAGATTATTTTCCTGTCACTGGCTAGGCTTTGGGGGTGCATTATGGGGTAATATACAGTCCAACAGTTGATAAAAACTGGACAATTTAGCTGGGTGTGGTGGTACACTCTGCAATCCCAGCACTGGGGATGTTGGAGCAGGAGGACTGTCATGAGTTCCAGGCCAGACTGGGTTACACAGTGACTTCAAGGCAAGCCTGCACTACATTAGCAAGACCCTGCCTCAAAAAAATTTTCTTATTCTAAGTCAACCTACTTCATCAGGTCAAACTTGCAGATTTCCCCATTAATATAATACAAATGAGCTGGGTATAGTGGCACATGTCTATAATCCCAGCACTCGTGAGGCTGAGGCAGGAGAATTGCTGTGAGTTCCAGACCAGTCTGGGCTACAAAGTGAGTTCAAGGCCAGCCTGAACTGCGTGGCGAAACGCTGTCTCAAAAAGACAAAAAGGTATAAATGGTCTCTAAAAAACCTTCAGAGTTAATTTAACCCATCAGATTTGGATTCATTGTAGGCACCTAATAGGCTGGTTTTTTTTTTGGTACCCGGAATAGAACTCAGGACCCTGCACTTGCCAGGCTGGCGCTTGTGCTGCTGAGCTATATCCCCGGCCCATAATACACATTTTGTAACACTTCCACAGGTTCATATCAGAAGCCTCGAATTTGAGTTTGCCTTTCCTGCATTAAAATACATAAACACCCATGGCTTTACTTACATAGTAAATGAACTCAAGGGCACGATACACAGCTGTATTTTAATCAGGGATTTACTGAAAGTCGCAAGACCAAACAAGTCACAAGAATAACACCACAGCTTTACGGCACACAATTTAGAGAGCAAAGGTGTATGTATCTAGTAACTTTTTTTGGAGGTAGTAATGGGACTGGAACCACCACTAAGCTCCGTTTCCAGCCCATTTTCGATTTTGAGACTGGGTCTCATTAAGTTAGCCAGGCTGGTCTGGAATTTGCTATCCTCCTGCTTCGGCCTTCCAACAAGATGGGATTTACAGGTGTGCACCACTGTATCAAGCATGCAACATTTTTTACAAAAGGAAAAAAAGCTAGAGTTTTCCTTCAAGCTTTAGTATTTTGCAACGCTAGAATGATTTTAATTACAGTATCTTTAAAGCAGTCCTTTATCCTTCAATGCTTTTTATCTGGTATTTGGGACACACACACACACACACACACACACACTCACGAGTCAAAGGTTATGTAATGGGATTTTTGTTCTAGGACATCAGACGAAAAAATCTGCAAGTTGCATGTGATTGCCATAAAACAGGTTGCAGTTACACCAAGATACTTGGTAGCAGCCTGGAACACACGCTGCAGAAAGAACTTGGGCAACGCACTCTACAGTACTCCCGGAGGCAACCCTGGGTTCCCTCCCTACTCTGACGGATACAGTTCCGGACCAGCTCTAGCCATCCCGTCACCAAAACAAAGAAGGTCACCGACGCCCCGGAGCGTCTCTGCACTACCTCTTCCACAAGGTCCTCGGTGGACCCAGAAGAACCTCCACCACCTCAACTCAAGAAGTAGGGGCTCTGACAGGTAGAAGAGGCGGGCCGGCCCAACGCGCAGCACATCGACAGCGTGCCCGCCCCGCGCCTCGGTGGGAAGATCCACACTTAATCACAGGACGCGGGCCACGTAGCTAAAGTGCCAGACGCCCAGGGGACAGCTCTGCCTTCCCGGGTTAACGATTAAGCACAGCGCTCGGGCGGGCAGGGCAGGGCGAGCGGGTCCGCTCCCTGCTCACTGGCTCCGCCGTGGAAGCTCGAGCCCGAGCCCGCCACCGCCAGTCCTCCGCACGCTCCAGGCTGGGGGAGAGATCGGGCGCGGCGGAGACCGCTCCACAGGTGGCTCTCGGAGGGCGGACATCGCCTTCCCGCGACCGCGGGGCCGGGGCCGGG